ATCATGCATCGGGATTTTATAAGATGATTAGCTCTAAGTTGATGAGGGTGTAGTTTATATTTGTTTAAAAGGAATATGATATCTTATAGTGTATCAAGTATATTTACACACATTTACATATTAATATGATATTTATTTGGAAGTTAAACTTTTATGAATTTTTTTTAGTTATTACCCAACAAGTATCATAATAATAAAGATATTGTGTGTTTTATAAATTCATATTTTTTCTTCTTTTCTTATAATTTAAAATTTTATTTTATATCCTAACAATAATTGAGAATGGATGTGAGATGCAGTAGTCCAAGAAATAAAAGAATTTGTTTTTAGGACTATAATTATAATAGCTAGGAGATTAAAAAGGCTAAAATTAAGATAAAAATTCGAACATTCTTCTAAGATTTTAAATGAAACGTTACACAATATAAGCATAAAAGCATAACGAGAAAATAATCTACACCTTCCACTTGGATAGATGAGATTCCAATCCCTAAGCCATGTGGGCTGAACAACATTACGTTTGGGCCTGTTGTTAGGGTGTAACGACCCGCCGTAATCCCTACACTTAGTGGAATCGCACTATTCATAGTAAACTAAGATGAATAATAAAATTGGATAACTTATAAATAAAAATACGAAAAATATATGAGAATCATTTAGTTTTTAAATATAAAGTACTTATACAGTTATCCAAATCTAATATCTCCTAGTGTCGGTCAAACATAACAACTGTTACCCAAAATGGTAACTTTGATTCTAGAAACCAAAACAAAATTCCACTTCTAGCAACGAACGCAACCGACAGCTCCAACCTAGCCCTGGTCTGCTCCCATACACAGTATAATCATAGTAGTCCATCCACATGGAAATAGAAGGGTAAGCTAGAGTTCAATAAACAATCATACAAGTATAAGATAATACTATACTACTCGGGCATCCAATCATCATCACAACGCAACCACACAGTTCAACATAAAAACTCAACTCATTCATACAACTTAGAAGCAACTTTAATACAACAACAACAACATACAACTTAAAATTTAATGCGTCGTCACGCATATACAACTAGGAGATCTCCAACAACTGAGGTTGAGCAGTCTAGGTGGCATAAACCCTACCGAATCCAACGTTTGACCTATCTTAACCAGGTCAGGTATAGAACATCGTTAGGAACTCCGAAGAGAATCAGGTATAGACAACAATAGGCGATTTCTCAGGTGTGTCACTTAGACTCAGAGGTCCAGTACTACTGTTAGGGCAGAAGGGTTTAGGTATGAGCCTACCACGGCCTTGGCTAGCATCACCAATCCACATATGGAGTTAGCCCACCCACTGTCCTCCAAGTACCATGCACCCTCCAGTACCTAGTCAAAGACTACATCTCTAACTAGATACCTTACTCAAATTGGTCATTCAACCATGACATGGATCGACTACTTCTACATCGCCCACACAGTACTAAGGGATTCAACTTTAAAACAACTTTCAACTTATCACCTTAGTACTATGTATCTCAACATAGGACATATATCTTCACCATATGTCCCCAACTTTTCAACTTTACAATAATGCGACAATAGGAATCTTACAACAATAGGCAACTTATAACAATACAACAATAGACATCTTACAACAATAGGCAACTTACAGCAACACAACAATAGACATCTTACAGAAATAGGTAACTTACAGCAATACAACAATAGGCAACTTACAACAATACAACAATAAACATCTCATATACCAGCTTGACAACTTTATATTCAACTATACCACTATACAACTTTAATAATTTTAACAACATGTGAACAACTTAATTCCATCAATTACGCAACATATAAGCTTCATACAGTTTAAAAATGAACTCAGATTCAACAAACAACAAATCAACTCATTAAAATCATCAAAAACCCCATTTTTCCCAAAATCCTAAAAATGAGGAATTTCTTTAATTCAACCACTTCTCAAAATCATACATCGATGGAGTTTCCAATTCTCCTGAAATTAAACAACCTACATTTTAGCTTCCCTTACCTAAAAGTTGGCTCTGAAAAGTCAAGAATTGAGAAGGAGGAGAAGAAGAAGAAATATTTGAGCTCGACTCTTGAACTTTAATCCTCTAAAAGTAAGCTTTCTAGTATGAAATTCAAGGGAAGACAAAAGAATTAGTGACTTAGAGGAGAAGAAGAATTATACAGAGAAAGTTGAGAGAAACGAGCTCACAGACCCATAGTCCTTCTCTCTAGAACCTCTCTCTAAAACCTCGCCTCCTCAACTGCACATAGGTCATATTTATAGAAATTCAGGAGTGGCCAGAATAGCCCGTTCTTAAACCAGAATGGCCCGTTCTGGGGTTGCATTTTTACCCATAACAGTCAATTTGGAACGACCCGTTCTCAACTAGGGATTTTAAGCCAATTTAGTAGTTTGGAACGGCCCGTTCCAGTTTGGGAACGGCCAATTCTGGACTACTAAATTACCTTTGTTTTAGTAATTTGGAATGACCCGTTCCAATTTTGGAACGGCCTGTTCTGGGCTACTAACTTCGTTACATAGGACACACGTGTTGTTGGGCCCAAGTTTTATGCTATGCAAACTAACTCTGGCAAAACATGGCTTATTATTTTAATTTTTTTATTATCACTGTTGTTATTAGGGAACACTTCGTGACACTCACCGGTATAAACTTCATGGTGAAACCGAAAACTTGCATAATTTGTAGTTGTAGGCTTATATAAATCTTATGAAATAGAGAAAATAATTTTAGAACCTTTTCCATCCAAACACGTGCATGGGAAGCAAAAACAAACGGGTGGATCAGTCAAGAGTACAAAAGAAAATATTAATTACTATTTTTACTCATTAATGAATATAGGGCATGAATAAAATTAAATAGGGCCGTAATTGTGTTGTTGATAGCATAGCTAAATATTAGTCCTATCAATTATAATGAAATAAGATAAAATATAGAAATATTTGCTAATATAAGTAGAAATGAAGCTCACATTCTCGAATATGAAGGTGGTCCTTATGAATGTGTAAAACCTGATGAAAACACTTCACAAAGCGTGTTGAACACTCTTCTAAAGACTAATCTTAAATATATATATATATATATATATATATATATATTTTTCTTATATTCTTTTTAAATAAGTATATGTAACTTTTAATATTTGTTTGTGTATAATTATTAGAGGCACAAAGTGCCTCAGCCCCTCTAGTATATATAAAGATAATTAATTTGGTATATATAATTTTAAGATGATTTTTTATCCTTAAATTTTTAAATTATTAAAAATAATATTAAAAATTAATTTATTAAAAATTAATTTATCATTATAAATATAAAATTCAAATATGAGATTTTAAAATTTGAAAATTAAACATATCAGTTAATTTAATAAATATTGATAATTTTTTTTAATATTTTTATTAAATAAAATATAAAGACACAATATTTTGACTCACTAATAATAATTTTTTTAAAAATAATTTAAGAACAGATATAAAGGAGGAAAAGAATTTACTAAGCATAGGCCTCACCATTATTGCCTACTTCTTTTTATTATTTTTTTTAATCGTAATTTAGTATATAAACTATTTTTCAAAGATAGTGAATGTGAACCTTTATAACTTTTGTAATATCACATATTTACAATAATCAATTGAACCAATCTTTGTTGTGTTTCAAGAATTGAATGTATCCCATTGTTAAAAAAATTGCTGATTAATTGGTAAAGATATATTTCTTGTTCAATTTTCTCGGAAAGAACAATAAAAGGATAAATGAAAAAGTAGGCACTCCTCTCAAGTCAAGTCATCAACTTGTTTATCCTCCTACTCTGAGGTTTCCATCCACAATAGTCTAACAGAACCACCGTCCCCACTTTCTGCCAAATTTGACTTAGCCCTTTTCTTTTCTTTCTAATTTTGATAGTGTCCTTTAAGATTTTACCTCTTAACTTGTCTACTTCAAATTTTGGATTCATTTTGCTCCTCGCCCTTCTTATTTTCAGAATTTTTTTTTTAGCTTTTCTTGTAATTAATTTAACTTTTCCATGTGATGCAAGAAAGAAAATGGGACAAAGCATGCAAAACCGATTTAAATCAAATCTATAATACAATTTATTCTATTCAAGTATTCAATACTAGAAGGATAATACAAGTTAACGAATAGCAACTTTTTATAATTAATTAATGAGTATTTTTTTTAGTCCCGGCATTTTTTATGGTAGTTAATCAGAGGATAATATGAAAGAACAAATTGTGAACACTGGTGATATTCTTTTATCATAAGGATAATAGATATTAATTAGGTAAAACTAGCAAAATAAAGATATTCCATGTTTTATAAATATTGTGTGCGTAAAAATTATAAAATTGTAGGGAAGTTACAATTTATTAAAGAAAAAGTTATTTTAAATAAATAAAATTATTGAATTGTCTTACACGGTTACCAAAATAAATAAAAGGTAAAAATGTCTTAAAAATATATGCACAAATTAAAACATTATATTACCTTTATATATTATTATAGATATAAATATAATTTATATATTTAATATTTATATATTATTATGAATGTTTAAAAATAAACATTCATCCTGTGCACAGACTAAAACATATTAATTTTTATTTATTGTTAAATCTAAGAGGTGGGTTTCCTGTCCTTAATTATTATAGTTGAATATGGCCTTAGTATAGACTTCCAATGATTCTACTATTTTATAAATCTTTGACCGCTGTGTCGTCGATCGTGACTCTCTTGTCCTTAATATAGTTTATTTAACTTTGAAAACAACAAATTTGTGCAATTTTTTGTTCAATAAAAAAACTTGGAGATAAAATTTTGATGTGATTAAAAAATAAGAAATTTTATAGAAATGATATAACTTTGAGATTCTAATATTCATCGTTATAGTATGTTGGATATTCAACTGTTCTGCAATTGTCAAGTCTACAAGTAGTGTGAATTGATGCAGTAAACAAAAAAAGTGGTGAATTGATAAAATTTTGATGTGATTAAAAAAATTAAAAAATATTATTATAGAAAATGATATATAAGTACTATAACTTTTTGAGATTTTAACATTCATGGTTATAATACGTTGGATGTTCAATTGTTCTACTATTTTTGTGCAATATTGTTAAATCTAGATGTGATGTGATGAACTTCTTGTCCTTAATTATATATTATAATCTTATAGTCAAAGGTGATACACAAATTAATTGGTTTCCCATTAAAAATTTGAAGGAGTTCACTTTCGTTGTTCTTATTACTACTCATATAAATTGACTTCTTCAACGACTTTTATAGCCATAGGTGATATAAAATGGGCTTCATTGTTATTCTAATTTGTATATCTCTCTTTGAGTGAGTTAGATATTGTTCAGAAGATGAAGCTGTTACCTTCAGTTTTGGTTTTTGCGATCTCTGCTATTTGTCTTTCGAGAATGATAGTTGTGATCCAAGCTCAAGCCCAGGCTACAACAGATCCTGCTGA